ACTGGGCCGTTGAAACCACTCCCTGATAATATTATTATCCCATCAATGGCAAAAGCCGAGTAAATGTGGGCCAAAATAAAAAAACTAAGTGTATGAAGATTAGACCCTTTCCATTTTCATACCGTAGTAAGCTAGAGCCAACTCTAGTCTTTGTTCTATTCATTATCCCGAAGAGGGATAACTATAGCGATAACGAGAGAATGTAAGGCATGGCTTTAAAGACTTTTTATGGCGGATGGCAGCTCTACCCCCTCTTTCGCTGAGAGCCCTCGTTTTTGAACAGCGGGGTGAGACTCCGGATTAAATATCTGCAATGCTCTGCAGAGTAGAAAGAAGAGTGATGTGTTTTTAAAAAGAACGCACGCTGCAGTCAACCTGTAGGTATTCTCATCTATAAGAACGATTTTGGAGCTAAAAAAGGCGTTATTAAAAAAAGGATTAAAGAAGTCTTGAAACAGCAACTTGGCATACAAATTCGCAATTTCCAGTGAGGAGACGAAAATACGGGGCCTGTCCAGCTCAATGCCAATCCTGTTGGCCTCTAAATATTTTAAGAGCGCTCCAGTTGCTAATAGCTTAAAGACCACGAGGTAAGAGTACAGCAGGTTTGTTTGTAGATAGTTATATCGTATAGCTACCATTTTTTCATTGTCCATAGGGATTAAGTTATTTATATACACAAATCGCTCTTGATTAGAAAGACCGGCAGGGATAGAGGCAAGGTCGAGCAGATGCAAGCTTCCTCTTCCCATGTTCTAGCAAGCGATAATATATAGTTCTAAAAAGTTTATTAAGACAGAAATGTCCTGGAACTCTACCGGTTGAAAATATTTTGGAGAAAGGCTTTCGATTTTCACATCTTAATATCAAATAAGTATGTGTTCAATAAATAATATTAATAACTACGTATGATGTAGTTTAATCTAATGTTATAATATGGCATTATTTTAAGGTTTTCATAAGATTTTTTAAAGTTTACTAAACTTAATAAGTTTGACTTGCAAATAGCAATAGAGAATGTAAATTTTTTAAAAAAAAAGTTTATACTGCTCTCTCCCTGGGAAGAAACCCATTCTCGTACCACGGAGATAGAAACCAAGTCACGGGGATCAAGTATTATAGTTGAAGGACAAACATCCTCTAAACCTTTTGACAATACGCTTAAAATATTTAAGCGGATAATGAAAAGTAATACATTTTCTAAAAATCGATAAGTCTTTATCATTCAACAAATCTGGGTACAAAGACAGTTTGCAAGATGAAAGACAAAAAACTGCGGCACCCACTTTCAAGTTTTTATGAAAGAAGGAGAGGTAAATCTGTGTCATAATACTAAAAATACTGTGATATTATGGAAGTTCACCAAAAATTACCGGTCTTCCTTCCCTTTTTTGCAGAGATGTATAATTAAAAAAAAGGAGTTATGTTATTTTTAGTATTGAATATTTAAGCTTATACATAAGATGAATATTAGCTTCCTAGAAAGTTTATGCAGTTTTAAAAGCATTACACAAATTTAATAGTTACTTTATACTAATACTCTAAAACACAGATCCAGTTTTCCTCGGTGCCAGTAACTGGTGTTAACCGGGTTCAGGTTATTAAAAAAATTGTAAAAAGCAATGCTTGTTAAATAAATCCTAACTAAAGGGCGTTTTTTATTCAGTTGTACACGTTTGAATTATCTATTATTGCTTAAAGTCTATTCTTTTTTAATATGAATGTTGTATTTTAAAAGCTGTTTTACGGTGAAAACTTCATTAGACAATGGTTGGTGTAGCATCAACTATGACCTAGAACCACCTTTAAACAGACACTCATAACGATCAAAACAGACAATTTTTGTCAGATCTGGCAAATTAATAAATTAAAAAAAATAAAAAATAAAAAAATTAGATTAGGATTACTAGTAGGTAATTAAAATCTTAAATGAAGCCCATTACGTTAAACCCACCAACAATGTCAACTTTTATCAATAAATAAGCCTACTACCTTACATATTATATTAATACATATTAACAATATACTCAAGTTCAAGTTGCTCTTTGGAAGCAAACTCAAATTTTGTTGGGTGAACTTGGTCGTGTGGGACGAGGACAGCCTCTGCTTCCATTGTTGCAGACAACTAAAGAGATTTAAAAGGTAAAAAAATTGGACAACGCTTCTCCTCAAAAAGCAAGGCTTTCGTATATATACGACCAAAATATATTGTTCCAAAAAATAATGAAGGCGCGGTTTGAGACAACAAATTAGTTTCTTTTTTAAACTTTCATATTAAAAAGTATTTTAATCAATTAACAAGTTTCTAAAAACAAGCAATACATACATGCAGTTAAATTTCAAATTGCGACAATAAAATAGGGTTTTTTTATGAAAATAGTATGTTTTCTGGAACTCTGCAATATTTTAATAATTTGTAATCATCATGTAAATTCATAAACTGCATTTTAATGAAAGCTAAAACACTTAAAATTGTCAATTAAATAGCAGATCCATCAAGTACAGTTTACCATAAAAATGTTATAATTATAAATATTCTTCCAATACAAATTAAACCTCCACTAAAAAGTTAAAGGATGTTTAGGAATTTAAGTCGCGTATGCGTCTTTACGAAAAGTAGGAAAACTCAGACAATAAAAATATTACATACTTTTACGATTGGATAAAACTGCTTTTTACAAGTATTTAGGAATGAGGAAAATTCTTCAGCAAGTTTCTGTGGGGTAAATTAGTATATACAATGTTGCATTAAAAACCTTCTTTTATGAAATTATGAAGTCATGAGGCAATGAAAATAATTCATGATTGCTTATTTAAATAAATTTTAAACTTGCCTTCAAGCAATTTTAGATGCTAGAAAATATATATAGTATACTCTCCATCTAAGTGGCGCTTTGATGTATATCTTATATTAACTTAAAATTTAAGTGTTCTTAATAACACTTTTGATACCAGCGACGTGAAACCGGTTAAATTAAATATCTTATCTTTACTTTCGATATGGGTGCCACAATTTAATATTGCGGTTAACAAAAATAGAACTAGAATTATCCGAAAGATATATTTTATATTATTTTAAAGCGCCGTAAGTTTTTCGTGTAGTTTATGGTTTTCAAAAATAATAAGTTTACTATATCCTTTTATTAAATTAAAATTAAAATTTATATGCCAGAGGTAAAGTTAGATTTTTTGTACTCAAAATGAGTGTCGATCATTTTTAAGTGATTATTTAATATAGGTAAAAATTGCAACAATTGTTTATTAAGAGTGTGGTTGCTTACCGATTTTTCTAAATGTTCAGTTCTTAAAAATTTTACTTTACCTGATAAAAAGTTAGTTATTCACGTTAGACATAATACATCTTTAGCTAGAGGAATATAAGTTTAATATCTTTTGTTGGTAGCCCCTTATCAAAAAACCTTAATAGCTTGATGTAAGGTAATACTACATTAAAAGCTTTTTTTACTCTTAATTTTAATAATCATACATCCTTACCTAAAAGTCAGCTGCAGTATTAGGAAGTAACGCTTGGCTGTTAGTAATATGTATTTTTTTAATGGCGTCACTTTTTTGGTAGATATTTTAAGCTTATCAGTGGCTTTGTAGATGCTCTATCAAACTAATCAAATATTTTGTTAATTCGAGCTCGCTTAGAGAGGCATTTCATTTATACAATAGTAAAATCAATTTTTAATTTTTGTTTACTCTGAATTTTCTCTTTTTTTTTTTTTATTAATTTATTATTGTTTTTATCTTTATAACCTTAAACCCCCAAAAAATTTTAAAAGCACATGTGGTGCGCAACTGTCTTATGGCTTGAACAAACAAAGCAGATATCATGCTAATCTAGCTGTTCTGTATATATTGATGACACTACGTTGAGAGACATGCGCCTTCTGGTAATAATTATAGTCACTCGCGGTTATTGAAAAAACCAGAAATGTATCCATCTTACTTTGTTATTTAGGTGTAGGCCTAAAGCGAATTAATTAATCTGCTTCTGCTTCCTTCCTAAACCATAATTAAATATCTTGGACCTTCAACAGTCTTAAACTCTTTTTTTTTTATAATTTTCAAAAATTTACGCTTGGTTTTTTTTATAGTTCGGAGACTTAGAGTAGGGTTTATAGCTTTTTCTTAACAATAGACAATTAGCTTGTATAGCATGCTCGCTACTATTAGTAAAAATTTAAGTTTGAAGCCACCATAATTGATTCATAGTAGTTTCATCGTCCCTCGATATAATAAAACCGTAAGTTAAGAAAGTTATGTGAGAAGATTCTAGAGTTCTTGAATGCAATTATTGTTTTCAAAACATTAAAATAAAATTAATATTATAGACAATAAGCCAAGAAAGGGAAAAGTTAAGAAGATACTATATTGTATTTTATATGGGAAGCAAAAAATTCTGCAGGGTCGGGTCTTCCTTTACGACTTGTTTCAATTTTTTTTTAAAGAAAGGACGTTATCTTTATAGAAGTTTGTTAATTTTAAGGGTTTAAAAGTTAATTTATGAGCGGCACTTGGAAACTTAAGTTAACTGCACTTGTTACAACTGCACTTTTTAATTTCGTTTAACTTTACGTTATTTATTTCTAAGCTCTTATATGTACATGACTAAAAATTTCTACTTTTTTGACTTTATTGTAAAAAATTTTTTGGTTTTCGAACTTTAATTTTCATCAGTTGCTACTTACTCTTGTTGATAGTAAGTTTTTTGGGTGTCCTAGAATTGAAGCTCCTTCATATATTCCACTTAGTTTAAATACAAACTCAACTTTACAGTACCATATAAGAAAGAGTTTTGTATTAATTATTGAAACGTTTTGGTTTGAGAGCGTCCGATATATATTTCTAAAAGGGAGAATACCCACCCTGGTATCCTTGACAAGAAAGGTCATGGTTTTACGCCCCTGACTCGGCGAGGATAAAAAGCAATTTGTGGAAAGCATCTACCCTGTTCCTTTGTGAGGAAAAGGCTAAGGCGCCTTCGCAGTCATCCCCTGTCCCCAGTTTCATACCTTTTTTTAGTACACCTAACCAGCGAATTCTAGTCAATTGAGCTTTTGACAGTCTGTATAATTTGAAAGGTCAAATTGATTTGTATTTAAGTTTTATAACTTCAGTTTACACTTGATATTTCGAATAGTTGAGACTCTAATTACTTAATTATGGAGCAAAATTGGGAGAGTTTCAAAGAAAATATTGAGCCTCTTAGGCAAGGGAGACAGGTAGAAGAGTTATATAGAATTATAAATAGCGATGATTTAAGCAACAAGCGTGATCTTCAAGATTCCATCAGGTTTAATATTTAAAAGATTTTTCTTTTTTATTATTTTATTTTAATTTAGGAAATTTGAACTGAAACTTTTAAATTCAGAGTTGCAAGACGACCCTTTGGAAGATTGGCTTAGGTAGTTACAGCTATATATATTATATGATTTGAAATTGTTTATAAATAGAAATTATTTAAAAAGTATGGCTATTATATGATTTGAAATTGTTTATAAATAGAAATTATTTAAAAAGTATGGCCATTGTGGCTAACTTTCTTATCACTATGAAACAAAGCTAGGGATTTTTCTTTTTGGAGTAAAAAGTTTTAACTTTCAGTATTTTTAACTTGTTTTAAAAACGCGATCACATAAGTTAGGAAAATTTTAAAACTTAACATATCTGTTTCATAACTAAGTAGTTATCATTTAATTAGGATTTTTTAATAGTACGTACCAATAATAGCGTAGAGTGAGAAACTGCCTTTTTAAATACTAATAAATGTTAGTTTTTTTGTTTATTTATAGCCTAATATATGGTTTTCTCAATAATATTTTAACTTTTCTTTTAGTTATAAATCCTTTTTGCAGCAACAACTTTATAAAGGTGACGAGAAGCGTATGATGAACTTCTATGAACGCTGCCTTCAGAAGTTTCAGGTTTTATCACAATTTGTGAAAGTTATAAACCTTTTCTTTTTCGCGTGCTACTTTTTTTTTAATGAGACTTATGAATACATTTTGAGTAGGGCGACGAGCAGTACGAAAACGATCCAAGATTTCTACGTTTGTGTATTGACTACGTTAGTAAAAATGAATAACAAAGACAACTACTTCAATCTTAGCTCTTTAAAATAAAAGGCGGACTCGGTGGATGATCCTGATGATATTTTTCATTACTTATTGCGCTCCAATATTGGAGCCAAACTTTCTTTACTTTACGAGACTTACGCTGTGAAATTAGAGGATTGCGGGAACTTTAGGAAGGCGGACGAAATCTATCTTCTAGGCCTTGAAAGGTTTTTTCGAATGGGCTCGCTACAGGGTCTCGGTGCATTAAATTTCTCTTATCACCATAGAAAAGCACAGCCACTGTCACGATTAACAAAGAGCTACGAGGCGTTTCAGCATCGCCTGGCTGAAAAACTCAAAGCTCAGGAACTGACTGAAAACCCTTATATTAGCGCGTGCGTCACTGGCGCCGGTGGCCTTAGTGACCCTGCAGCGGACATGAGGCTCCCTGCTGGCGACCAGGAGAACATCAGAAAAAGCGTGTATCTCTTCTGCCCTTGGTGGGCTACTTCCTTACGATCGCCTGACAGGTGCTCATGCGCAACCTTCTTTTCAAGTTTTTAACGATTCTGGAGAAAACACGTGCCCAAGTTCTACCCGGCCTTGTCGGCCACCTTTGTACGTGGATAGGAGGAAAGAGAATGCGCCTTTAGTCTCGCGCTGGGTGCAGCACTCGGTATTGTGCTAGTGCTACCACTCAGCAGCTGACCATACGACTGCCTAACTGACTTTTTAGCTGCCGCAGAAGACTACGTGCGCTACTGAAAACACACCATTTACAGTATATGTTGAAGAGCACAATGGGTGGGTGCCATATAGTGATTTCTACTTTCAGCATTTTTAATTTCGTTTGCGGTCAGCAACACGGGACCCTCTTTTTCTGGAAACGTCCATGCATTCAAGTAGCCACTTTCTGCCTATCTTCTCGCTATTGGTCTGTTTAATAACTATCAATCAGAACGCTGAGGCTTGAACCGAAAGAGAAGTTTTTTCACAGAACGCGCGACCATTGCGAAGATTCTAAAGATCAACTGGCCTATGATTATACCAAGCTTATGATGGTATGCCCTCCTGGTTTCTCGGCCAGCTACACTCCCTTCCTTTTCGACCCAATTGTATAGGGCACCAACCTGGAAATATCTCCTGAGGAGCTCCGGGCCCTACAGGCCCGATATCAGCCCCCGGCTTTTACTTTTACGGTCATCGAACCTTCTAAATTGTGTGACACAACGGGGGCCTCTAGACCACACGACTCTAACATCAGTATTCTGGGCGAGGAAACAAGCACCCTCAACTTATCGTCCGTTTACAAGAAACTCAACTTCGATACTCCGTCTGTTAACATCAGCCAAAGTAGTACAAATAAAGTCCTCCCTTCTTTATTACTTTTCCATTTTGTAATAAAGAGCGCGGGAGCGGTCACAAGAACTATTTCCTGTTAGACCCACCCGAGGCCTCTGAAAGTCGAGAGGCACTCTCCTCCATGCTTGCTTACCTTAATTTTTTTTTGATAATAATAATAGCCTCAACCACCCGCCTGCTCCCCCGCATTCGTCTCTGACTTGTACCGGTGTAGTGACCGCTTAACTGTCAAAATTAGCGATGCTGCCCCGGAAGTACGTTTGGATGAGCTACTGACTTTAGGTGCTCACGTGCTTTGTACCAATTGTTTTCATTACTTACCCTACTCATATATAAGGGCGGGAGTGTTATGGTGTGCAGAAGCTGCTCTCGGTCTCGTCAACCGCCCACGTTTATCTGCTAGGAAAGGTGGTCGAGGAGGACCACGGGGAAGGCGAGTGCGGCGACCCCCTTTATGATCCCGAGGATGCTACACTAGCCATGAAGGTAGTGCACCTGCCTCTCCTTACGCACTTACCATATTTGTGACTTATATGCATAAACCCAGGTGTCCGGTGCTGAAGGCCACTGGGAGTTCCATATTGTCCAGCGAATTGCTCGCGCCCTCGCTTTACTAAAAGTGTTTGAATGCCTTCCCCGTCCACTCTACTGTTGTTTTTTTTACTACCCTTTTGTTTTTAAATGAGAGGAACGAAGGGGAGGTTATTTTGTAGACTACTCCCGCGGCTTTGTGTACAGAGACAAGACTTTTCTACTGATGCGTTATTACGACCAGGGGACTCTCATGGTCCCTATATCGGTTATTCCTCCTTTGTTCTTCGTTTTATATGTTTTTATTATTCGAGGATGCGCTGGAAACCTACAAGCGCGAACAAAAGAAAATGCAGGAAGAACTCGTGATATTTTACTGCATAGAGTTACTGAAGGCTATTGAACTCTTGCATCGTTTCAACGTTGTGCACGGAAATATTGCTTTGGAAAACTTACTCATTCGCGCTGACGGGAGGTGCTGCACCACCATGCCTTTTTTTATAATTACTTGTGCCCAACCATGGCGAAAATTCAGAAGCCTCTCTGAAAGCTGGCATCCGGACGGTTCTAGTGGCTGGGCGGCCCACGGGCTGACGCTGATTGACTTCAGGAAAAGTCTAGATATGGACCAACCTGATGGCAAGCAGGGTCTTTGTGGTACCGGGGAGCTTTCGTCGGGCCTTCGCGCTTGTCCTGAACTTAGAGACGGCCACTCTCCTTCTTTCCAGGCTCGTTCAGTTACTATTTTATTACTATGAATGATTATTACGAGTCCATTCATAGATCGACACCTTTGATGTGCTATTTGTGGTATTCTCTCTACTTTACGCGTCACCACTGAATATTGTATTTGCTAATGGAAAGTGGAGCCCAGCATGTGCTTTCGAATCGTAGCATATATTTTTTTTCCCGTCAAAATTTTTATATTTATAACGCTGTCAACCTAAAAGTTGTGCCCACGCCGCCCTATGGAAAGAAATTTTTGAGCTTTTTTTGAATACTACAAGCGCCAAAACGACTCCTTGCTTCCTTCAATCCGCCCGCCTTCGCCTAGAAGTCTACCTGAAAGGCCAAAGTGCTAGCAGTAGGCTGGGTAGTTGCCTGGTTTTCCTCTTTTGTGGGGAGGGGTAAGCTGATTTCTATTTGGGCCCGCCAGGCGCTTTTATCAGGAGACAAAGTATCAATATATTCAACTTGCGGTACCTAAAAGATCAAGAGCTCGAAGATCTTTAGCCCTACAGCAACTACTTGACTCTTATTACTTTTTTTACACGTTTTAAGGAAAAAATCGCAGGCTTTTACAGTAAAAAATTGGACTTACTTATTAAACTTAATTGCAGTAAAAGATAAATATTTATGTTTTTACTAGTTTCCTTTGGTGTTGTAAAACTAAATATACCGAGTAAGCTGATTTTCCATTTTTTGCCATATTTAAGTTATAAAAAAGCCCATTAAACAAATTATTATAAGCCCCGAAAAGCATGCTAACTGCAAAGTTTTCTCTTCGGTACGTTATAGAATTTTTTATATTAGAATTAGAGCTTCGTAGCTCCATAAATCCATTGCGCTCTTCACTTTCTATATATAATATTGTAAAGCGAAATATTAGCTTTGTTTTTGTTTAATTTCAGCTCCTCTAAAAAAAAAAAAAGAACAATGATTTAGCCTCATCGATCTTTTATTAAAATATTGTAGAGCTTGTATTTATTAAACTCAAAACTTTTTTTTTTAATCCTGCAAATTATAAAAATATATACATTTTTAAGTTTACACGCTTTATTAATAAAGAATAATTAAAAAGATTGCGTATAATCTGCTACTGAGAGGTCTTAAATACACGTGATATTTTTTCTTTTCATCTCAGAATCTTACCTCATCGCTGTACAACTTATAATATATCATAAAATTAATCATTTTAAAGTAACATTTATGCAGAGAAAAGCTTAACTTGAAAATTAATAATAAAAAATCTTATTTTTTTAAAACATTTTTAATGAAAAGAGAACAATCAAATAATAAGAAAATAATTTTCCAAAATTTTATAAAAATATGCAGAACAGAATTAATTATTTTAAATTAAATATTAAATATATGATAAACTCTAACCTATTTTTAAAGTGAAGTATTATAGTAAAAATAAATGTGAAAACTTAAAAAAAATTGGAGTCGTAATGTTAAGACTAACATTATAGAAACAAATATAATTTAGTAAAAATAATTTAAAAAAGTTGGTTAATAAAATATTAGAAAAAATCAAAATTAAAATATTTTAATTTATAAAGTTAAAAAAATACTATAAAATACTGATAAAAAAGTCTTATAAAAAAATTAATAAAATTACAAATAAAAAAATCATTAAATAATTTAAAAATTATAAATTTACTAAAAAAAATTAATGCAGAAAGGTCTAATATAATTTTATAGGGTTTAGTGAATGAAAATAATAAATATAAATTTGAGGGCTTTGAATTTATATGTTTGTTAAGAAATTAAAATTTTCATTTAAAAAATTAAATTAAGCAAAAGAAGTATAAAGTTAACAGTAGAAAGAATAGTAATTATTTTTAAAAGGAGACAAAAAATTTAATTAGTTTAATTAAATTCTTGGGAAAAAAGACAGTTTTATTTTTAAAATATTCTTCAAAAAGTTAAAAAAACAAATAAATAAATTAATCTAAAACTATATTACGTATGTTTCCTTAACCCACATTTTAGTTCGCAAAAGAAATATATCAGTGAAATAATAAAAACGTTATAAAATTATTATTTTTAAAAAATAATTTTATTTTAATTAAAGTTTTATAGAAAGTAAATGGAAAAATATAAATTATCAACTCTAATTTAATTTATATTATATATTTAAATAATTTGCAAGTAATACAATTCTGAAACTTATTACAAAAAGAAAAAACTTATTAAAAATTACCATTAGCTTATAAAAATAAAAAATTAAATCAAGGAACTTATAATCTTTCACTATAATAATTAAATAATTTCAATAGTTTTAAAAACTTGCATTAACTATCAGAAATTGATGACTATAACGTAAATTTAATATAATAAAACTAAGTATAACGAATTAAAATGAAAGCTTACTTTAAAAGTGATTTACAAATAAGTTAAATTTATTTTTTGACAAAAAAAATTAATTACTTTCTATTATCACTAAATAAGTATTGAAACTAAAAAGTAAGTTTTTATATATAAAATTAACAACTTACGATTTCTGATTTCTAGAATTCTTGGTACCACAAATTTTGCCTTCTGAGCTCGTCTTCCTCTTCGGGAGCAAAATCTTTAACAATGTTGAAGTAACTTCGGATCAATTCTGGACTTCTTTCATTAATTAAATTGGCCAAAGTCATACTTTATTATAATATAAATATTTATAAAAATTTAATTACCATGTTATGGTAAAATAAGAATTTAAAATAAAAATATATAAAAAAAACTTTTATAAATTTTAATTAGAAAAATTTTTGTTACAACTTTACTAAAAATCGGTAAAAACAAATTATATTTTTAAAATATTAAAACATCTATAAATAATTGTAAAGTAAAAAAAACTTTTTTCGACAAAATCAATTTTTTTAATTATCTAAATATACTTAAAAAATCAAGTTTTCATTATTATTTAATAATTAAAAGCAATTCGTAAAAGAAATTATCTAAATTTTAGGGAAGAGTAAAAATTTTCGATATAGTATTTAATATTAACTATTATTTAGTAAAGACATAATAATGACTCAAATTTTTAAAAACTTTATATAAATACAACTTGGAGACATTCACCTAAAAAAAATATAAATATTCTTTTAATTATATACAGGCACTTAAAAATGTATCTTTTAAAAAGGATTTTCATATAAATTAAGTGGAAATTACATATATATATATTATTTTATAGACATTGGCGACTACCAAGTCAAATCAAACAACGATTTGATGCAAAGGTGATCGGCAGCTAAAATAAGTTCGAAAAGAACATCCTAAAAAATTTATAACTTAAAATAAATTTCAAAGATTTTTATTTTTATTTTTAAATTAAAAATTCATATGTAAGAATATCACGGTAAACTTTATAAAATAAGGAAATATAATCTAATTTAAAATATAAAATTCAAAAAAAAAAACTTCGAGCAATAAATTTAGTAAAGTAAATAAGAATTTCATTAGAAATTTACAGTTTTACATCTTAAAATATTAATAATAAATTTAAGTTAAAAAAAATCACATCATTATACAGTTTATAGTTTGTAAAGTGTATATATAATGGTTTCAAATCATATTAGTTATGAGTTAAATGCATAAGAGTAGAAAGATTTTATTTTTTATAAAAAGTTAATCTAAAAACTAAATGCATCAAAATTTAATTTCCTCATATTATAATATTTAACAAAGTTCGTTAAACTTATTTTATACAGGTTTATTAAAAGCTAAAATAAAATCCACTGATTTAAAAACTTCAGATATAAAAAATTTGCTTACAACTTAATTTTTTCTATAAATTGACTGAAATAACTATTTAAGTAATTAATAAAACATTATTAATGTAAATATCAAAAAATAATAAAAAATTAAGGAGTAGCCATATTATTCCATTTAAAAAATGTATTTAGTATATATAGATTTTTATAGAAATAATTAACTTCTGAATTGATCTTAAGGTCTACAAAAAATTATTAATAAAAATTTTATAGTTCAAAATAACTTTTTCTAAGAGAACAATATATTGGTATACAATTAAAATAAAGTTAAAATTATTTTTGGTTTTATATTTATAAGTTCTGTGAATAAAACTCTAATAATTTTAAAAATTATATACATTATTTATCCAAAAAATTATATTTAGTTAACTCGTAAATTTTTTTTATGGTAAAATAAATGTAAGTAAGCGAGCATATTAAAATTTTGTTTTTAATTATAGTAAAATATTTTTTTTAACAAATAAACATTTTCGTTGAATTATTATAATAATTAATTAAGCTTGATAATATAGAAATTATATATTAGATAAACTGCACAATTTATAATGTATAATTAGCTTTAAAACAAAAGTTTCATTAATAATAAGAAATTTAAATAACACAAATAACTTATAATATTTTTAGTTATATATTAACTAATTCATTAATTTTAAATTTTTTTTATTAATAGCGTACCTTAATAAAAAGGTAATATAAACAAACTCAAATAAGGAAAGATAAAAGCTCTACTATGTGATTTTCATAATATATATTAATAAGAACTTTTAGTTAGCAAAAAAAAAGAGGATTATAAGAATTGTAATAGCAATACAGAACTTTTGTATAAAAATAATGTATATAATTTAAGGTATTAAATAATATATTTTTCTATAAAAATAGTTTAATAAAAGCATCACTTAGAAAACTTTTATAATAAAAAAAATTAAAAATTAAAATGATGTAAAATAATTTCAAGGAGTATTAAAGTTTAATCTTAACCTAAACTTTCTTTTATTTTTACATTTATTATATTAATGATAGTAATTTAATTCTCAACAATTTTTACTTAACCAAATTAAACGAAAAACAATTAATTTAACAAAAATTATGCTTTATTTTAAAACTTCCATAACTTAAGAATCTTTTTGATATTATATTATATTTATACTAATCATAACTAAATATAAATAATTTTTTATAAGATTTTATACTTAAGAACTTTATATATTTTTTAATATTTTTAAAAACTTTTATTCTAGATATTTAAGATAAAAGTTAAAATATATTCTAAATATTAAACTATAATTCATTAAGAATTTAAAACGCTCAATGTTATAAATTTTAAAAGGCTAATACACTCATCAAAGTTTTCCAAGTTTTTATTTATAAAACCTTGAACAAATATTATTTATACATTATATATTCGAAGTTGTTTAATTGAGAGGTTAACCTTATAAGCTAAATATTAACTATTCTTAAATGTACTTAAAATACAATAAGTTTAAAGAAAATCTAAATATTATATATATGTAAAAGTTTAATAGTTAAGTAAAAAAAATTTAAAAAAGGTAAATTAAAGTTGTAAATATTTTACTGTAAAAATAATTCGAATTATTTAACTTAAAGTAATTATATATGTATATAATAAGCTTAACTTGTTGAACATTAACAAAAGATTTGTCCCATAAGTCGATACTGTCATAGGAGAAGGTTGGCTCGCTATCCATCTAACAATAAAAAAAATATATTTTAACTATAAAAATTATATTTAAGATTTCTGTAAATAATATATTTTAGCCATGAAAAATAAATCAAAACCTACATGCAAAAATTTACTTAAAAAAACAATTTAAAATTTATAGAATTTCAAGTAAAGATGCTGTTAAATTAACAAGCACCAAAGAAATATGTTTCAAAAATTCAAGTTTATAAAAAAAATGTAATAATTTTATACAGCTTCAGTGGACAGCTCATCTTCTTTGTGATACTCACAAAAACGAACAACTTTTTCTAACACTTCTCCTCTGATGGAATCCAGATATACGCTTTTCTTTATATTAGTGTCTCCCTCTAAAATTGTTTATAGTAACGCATAAAATTTATCTTTTAAAGCGTTAGTAAAACGATATGTTTCACTTTTTAACAAAACGAGTAAAGTCGATGAGTGAGTTAAGGCTTTTAAGGAAATGTCATAAGTAGCCTTATCCGAACTTATCAAAGTGATAGTTTCGAGCATATTGTACTTTTGTGTCTAAATATCTAAAGAGAATTGTAAACTATTTACAATTTTATTTTTTTTTAAATATATACGTTATACTTTCCAGATAGTGAGTTGTAAGACTAAGCCAGCGATATTGAATAATAAGATGTTGAAATTGGCAAACCTTTCGCTTGGAAACTTGAGTAAAACTTCCCCCCCTCTTCTAAATGAAATCTTGTATGGACCAATTAATATTTCTTATGATTTTTTTATTTTTCAGCCAAAATATTTGAAGTCACGTGGTTTCTAAGCGAACTACATGGTTCCAAAATTTTAGCAGAAAAATATCACATTTTCGTGATAAAATAGTTTAAAAAAATTAAAATAAACATTGTTGTAGAAATAAAGTAGGTCTCATTATATGAGAAGTTAAAAGTTTTCGCTTTTTACACTTCAATATAAACCTTACGCTTATAGTTTATTCTCGAAAATGATTTTTTTACTTATAAGAAATTATAAAGAGCGTTAAATATTTTAGTAATCACAAACTTTACTAAGAATATAGACTTGTAACTACTCTATTATTAGTAATTAATAACTAGTGTAGCCCTGTTAACTTTTTTGTAGTAGCTAATAAAAGAAAAAGGCCAGGAAGTTTAATAGAGCTAATTATACGAGAAAAACAAAATTTATATGATAGTGTTCTTAAGAACTAAGTTAAAAAGGTATAACACTTTTGTATTTATATTTAAATGCAAAAATAAATTATAGATACGATAAAAACTAATTATTTAAAGGTTTTTATGCAAAGTAATAATCTCTGTTAAAAAATGTTAAGGTTTTTCAACATGTTTTTAGACAGCATATTAACAATGAGCACTAAAATATAGTTTCACGTAATACATTTAAAGTACCAGTTTCATCAGCCCATATAAATATTTTCAGACTATAATTCTTCGCTTGCATTTAGCCTTTAAGCTACTATATTTCCTTAAATTTTAATTTTTTAAAGATTATTTCTGTGCACGGACTTTTGTAAAGCGTTCAGTTCACTAACTAAAGCCAATCTTTTTTGTTTTGCGGGCTATGTGAACGAAAGTGGTTAAACTTTTAGGGTACAGAAGCAACAAACGGAATTTATAATAATTACCTTTTTGGTCTAGGGTAGAAAGAGAATTAATAGAAATAAATGCTTTAATTTTTTTTTTTTTGATATAACTCTACCAAGTACCTACTTTATGTTATAATGTTAATGTTATTATTATTTTAAATTGCCAAATAAATTGTATTATTAGGAAAATGCTTAAATTTTTACAATTTTTTCTAAGAGAAGAGGTATGGTATAAGATCGTTATTTACTATTTTTTAAAGCAACTCTCAAATAGAAGTCAATTAAGTTAATTTAACTGTAAAAACGCCTTTTACTCTCACTGATTTATTGTAACGGCTGCATAAAACTTGTGTATGAAAGTCAACCTATTATAGTTTTTAATAACTATAATTATTATATTATTACATAATGACTTATTTATATAAGGGGATCAATATAAATAACACTAGTTTAAATAATTTTTAATATCACAAATATATTTCTTCCCAAACAACATTACCAAATTACCGGTAGTTACACCTGCGTTAAGATAAAAGCCAATGGTCTTCTTACTTTCTTATCAGTTTATAAGCAAGTGATAACGATAGTATAATCTAGCAATAATGGCCACGCAATACTTGAAAAGAAAAAAAAGTTTTAGGCGTCGTACTTTACCATTAATGATATTGCTACAGGCATTTTTTATTAGACCAGCTAAATAAGTTGAAAAAGTCCAGTTGTCCTGTAAATAGTTTGGACTTGAAATGGTAGCTTTTCGAGATATTTCAGGGGTGTTGCCTAAGACCCCCATTTTGTAGTAATTCTATTACAATTAATTTGCGTAGCACTCTCTTATAAGCGTGTAAGGCAGCAAGGACCGTACTGGGATACACTCCTTGTTGCATCAATAAGTGGTATATTTTATAAAAAAATATTAATTATAAGCTATTATATACGCGCCTCTACAACTTTTGCTTCTCTCTTTAGGATTCATTGCTGTAACTTTGGCTTCCATTGGGAATGTAGTTACCAGACAAAGTGTTGAAAATGACATTTTTAAAGAAATAAAACAATCTCTATACATTTTATTTATAGTTTGTGAGCCTTTTTGAGCAATCTTTGAATTCTCAGTCATAGTTTGCAACTACATCAAACTGGCCTGCGTCCTTGCACCAGGTTTGCGAATCTTTGCTAAACCTTTTCTTTTCGTACAAGCCTTAAGCGCTAAAAAAATATTTTAACATACCAAGAAATACTCGCACCCCTTTTATAAATTTAATTTCGTTAACTTATTTTATTGTTAGGATCACGGCTCCTGCGCTCCTTGAAATCCGCTCTTCTTGGAACTTTCTTAGCTTTTTTTGCATGCCGGATTTATATCGGCTGTTTTCGATACCTTAACAAAACAGTCGACGGAGGAAGGGCGTGGAATATTCATACCCCAGCTTATATCTGCTTATTTATACCAGAACTGCTTGTCACAGCTCTCATAATTTATACCTGTTGTAAGAGAGCAAATAATAAAAACGAAGGAATCTTTCATATAAAATCTGTTCTAAAAAGCAATTTTTTTATTTTGGTTACTTTGGATATTTGTGGGTGTTTTCTCACCCTGGCTTCAGCCCTCATTGGCGTTAATAGTACTTTTTCGGTTAGAGTAATACTCTAAACCTTGCTAAGAGTGCAGTTCCACTGATCCTTACATTAGATGCGGTTTTCATAAAGATGGAAAGCCGACAGTCAACACTTGGGCCCTTCCAGGATGAATCGGCAAGAGCGGCTTTCAGCCAGGTATAGTATTATGTACATATAAAAAGATTTAGATTAAAAATTACGTGCGGTAATATTAAAGAGTGTTATAAAAATTTCCAATAAATAAACCGTAGCTTTACCTTACTATAATTGTAAATTCTATCGTTAAATAACAGACAATAGAATCTTTTCTGGCCAATACATTTGAAGTTCTTTAAAACAGCTTGCTGAAGAGTTTAGTTTAAATTTTATTATACTGAAACTTTCTATCCAAGATGTAACAAAGATGAAATTAATAAAAGCTAACGACTATAAAGATATTTTTATAGCTTCTATTACAACTTTATATAAAAACTTTATTTGTTAGTTTACTGTTAAAATTACCACAGTTGAGCATAGAAGGGAAAAAGAGAAAAGCGATTTACAACTTTAAAATTTACAACGCTTAATTAACTTTCGTACAACCGTACAACCCTCAAGTGTCTAAAGGTCTATTTAAGGCTTTAGCCTTACAAAGAGTTGCTTATATAAAACTTATACGCGTATAATTAATAGGATTGTTACCACAAAATACCGAACCCTAAATCGATCTCTAAGATTCTTTAGTAGTGCACCAAAATTTTGAACATTCGTACCCCCTTTTTAATATTATATAAATCACTAAACACCGGGGAACATAGTTTGAAAGTTAATACACTTAAGGGTATAAAAAATACAAGTTAATGCCGTCTTAAGGTTTAAATACCGTAGATTTTGACCGACATATTCTGTTTCTTACCAAACATCGAAGTAACGGGAATTACCAAGTCTTGTATCGGTTATAGCTTTTTCTCTTACACTTTTTTAAACAGTTTTAGCCCAGGTTTAGTTATAAAGCCAATACGGCTTTAGCAATAGCTTGCTCAAACTTTAAACTTAGTATTTACTTCCATACAAATATTATTAGGCTTTTTTTTTTTTTTTCAGAAGTTTATTGTCAAACCGTTTTCCGCCTACTACCATCAAAACTTTTCTTTGTAACAAATGTTCTTGTACTTCTTTATAAAAAGGTCTAACAAGTGTCACGAAACGATGTTTTTTTTTTCAATATTATTTATTTATTAAGATATGTTCATATTTTAGTACCTTACTAATATACAAATAAAATCTGCAAATTAAACAGACCCTAAGTTTATTCGACTTAAGTTTTACCTCGCATTGCTTATACATCTAAAATCCCTGACTTGCTTTATGTATTTTTAGGACAAATTATGCAGACAGAACATTAACTTAAAACTTACCCACAGTGTATGTCTACTTCCTTTCCTTTTAACTTTTGTTTTTAGCCTTCCCCTTCATAGCGCAAACTTCTCTTCACATTATAAGATACCGTACTTTGTACTGTCTCCTCTTTGTTTACGCTTGCATTGCACAAATAAATTTTATAGTAATTATTAACCGTAACACTTCTTCTCCTAATGGTAAATTTACCTTTTTCCACTTTTTTTAAACCAGAACTGACCACTTGTTTTATAATTACGAAGTTAGGCATTGGTCGAGGGCCAGTCTTTCATGAATTAAAAAAATATTTCTAGAAGGGTTTCACTCATGTTACGTATAACATCAGAATATGTGTTCACTAGTATTGAAGTAGAAAATTCTTAAATAATTTACTTCATTTTAACGTAAAAGTTTCAATATATTTAAGAAAGAATCGTCAGAGGCAATATTAACTTCGTTAATTACTAACGATCAAATTAAACTGTAAGTGAAAGTAACATGGAATCACAGACCCATTCACATGGTGTTAAAAGGCGCTATATACAATTTGGAACGGGATTCCAAGGAAGCACACACAGTTCAAAAACCGATTGGTTGTAGCGATGTTAATTCTCAAAAAAATGAGTTAATTTCTGGGGACTTCTCTACAACTGGGATTAAGTAGAGATATAAAAGGTCCCCTCCAGTGAGCCGGCATATTTTGACTAGTCAATTGGCTTTTGTTTTACTTTATGAGTTCTTATTATTTTTATAATCATAAATATATTTTTACCCGATCTTTTCTCTACAAAAAAAAGATTTATTTTTTACAGTAAGTATTAAAAAGTGAAAATGTTGATTTTTTTGATGCTCCACTTCGCATGAGTTAATTATATATATCTGCACAATGCATTCTTGATGTAAAAGAATAATACTTAGGCGAAGACCGCACGTTTCATAAGGCTCTAAGTTCACTTATCAATAATAAAGAGTATACGTGTAAAGATAATGGTCAATATAAGAAGGCTTTGCTTTACGTAAAGTATAGGTGATGTACGTTATAGAAATAACGTAGTAATATACAGATAAACGTAATTAAAAAAGACGTATTATAAAAGTAAGACCACTACGTAAGCTTAACAAATTTAGATTTAAAACAAATAACTAAGTAAAAGTTGGAAAAAGGTATAAGCAACAGGCATTTTTAAAAAAAATTACAAGAATCGACCTAGTAAAAAGTATGTTTTACGGTATTAATATCAAAAGCTAACCTACGGGAAGGTTTAAATGTTTAGAGCAATGTTGCGTTAGTTAAGATTATTTATGAGACAAGTTATTAACAATGGGAAATAGTAAAGAAAAAAAGGTATGGAGAGTTTTAAAAGTCTAGAAAGTTAGATCTTGTTTGTTTTAACAATACTAAAGGTATTTACTCGCAAAGATCAAATATTTTTTAACTTGTATAAGCTCATTTTTACCGAATAAATGAAATATTTAAAGAAAGAGCTAAGCTAAAATTACTGCTTGTTACTTCATATTATTAAGATTTTGATTTAAGTGCTCATAACTTAGTTTTTTTAGGCTTTAGTATCTTTATTCAAATTTTATGAGAGTATCACAAAAGTTTTGTTATCTTTTAAAATTTTGCTACTAAGTTTTCTAAACCTTTTTACCGTTTCTTTTTCTTTTTATAAGGTTAAATATTTCTAAAATTTATAATTAAAGGCAAGGCAACATTATTAAATTGAGCATGGATTAGGCATACTTTCCATTAAGGTAGTAAAGTTCTTTTAGCGCCACGAGAGAAAATGGTGAATGTATATGATTCCCAGACACTTAATGCTATATTTAGTATCAAGGATGGGTAAGGCCTGGTAAGTTTAATGTTGAAATAGTTTTGAAGAAGCAGCTTAACATTAAAGCTGCAGCGCCTGAATCATGTATTTGTAATTAGGAAGGTCACTTTCATCCTTGCAAAATCTCTACAGTCTTGTTTTAAGAGCTAAATATTAATGAAAAAATTAATTTTCATTTTCATTGAAATTCAAAGTATGTTAAATTTTTAGGTGTATATATTAGAATTAATTAGAAAATAATCAATGCTTGAAAATAAATTTCCCAGTGTCCTAATTTGTGCTCATGAATAAGAATTAAGATTGGTAAACATACTCTTAGTAAAGAAAATTTAGTGTTTCGTCTACATAAAATTGCTCTTACGGATAAGCGTGGCATATTAAATCAAATAATTAACACTTTTTGCACGCTAGCGCTTTTTCTATTTAACCTTTCAACCATAAATTCTGCTTATGCGTTAACTTTTTAAGTTAATTCTGTTATTGGCTTATATTTAACAAATATTTAAACTCACGAAGATAGTTAATATTTTAATAAAAAAAGCTTTGGCTACCATCTCCTGTATCTCTATTACAAAATTCATTTGTTTTCCTTCTTTATAGTTACTATTGTATATAAATTTTAATATTTAATAAGGCAAATTAAAAATTTGAGACATAGTTGGAACCTCATTTAATTCTAGTAGTTTTTTACTATTTTTATTTTTTTACAGTAAAATAATATTTTTCTCAACTAATTTCTTTACATATAATTACAAATCTTACCTTCTACTATATAGTAGTGCTCACTCATGGCTTGCTATTAAAAAAAATAAGAGCAGTATGATGATGAAATTTTCTTAATTGTAAGTTGTAGGTAAAGTTTACCAAAATAAATTAATAAAGGGAAATTTTATTTTTTAGAGAAGGAACTTATTGATATAAGTAACATCAAAGCTGTAAATTATTTCTCCTCTCTTAGACACAACTAGCATTTTTGGGTATAGTTAAACTAAGTTTTTAGTGAAACTTAATAAGCATGTAAATAATACTACTCGGCGATACTCTATGAACCCTTAAAAATTATCGAAACTTAACTATGCTATCAAATTTAGATTGACACGAATTATAAAGCACGATGGAATGCTTATAATTTGAAAAATGTTAACAAGGCTAACTTTCATTAAAAGAAAGATAGGTGAGGAAAAAAAATTAATAAATACACCAAAAAGAGGGCTTCTAAACAAAATAATTTAAAAAAAGATCTAAATAATTCTAAGGAAAAATTTATATAAGGATTTTATCGAGTAATGTCAACTTCAAGCTTCGTAAAATGATGCGTAAAGTAATAAAAATGCTTTCAAAGGTCACTGGGCATAAGGATGACCAACTTTGGAAATTTATCATTATTCTTGTGGACCGCATTTCTCTTCGACCTCTATATAATTATTTGACCTGGGGAAGTAAAGCTGGGGGACTTGCCGTTTTTAAAGGGTAACCAGACTTTCTAATGGCAAAAGATATAAGAGTTACCAATTTGAAGCACCTTAAAGCAGGAAAAAGCAATAATACACCAAATAATATCCGAAATTCTAGAGCACATTGTACGCTAGCATCTAATTCTCATAGCAATGAAGATCATTTAAAAAAATTTCTTATAAAGCAAGGGCTTAAAAAAGTTAATTGTTCATTTGAAACAAACCACTCACTTATTCCCGAAAAACAGGCTTATGCAAGCGTTAATCCGGACGAAAGTCATCCTTTTTTAATTCTATTTAGCTCATCTCAAAGTGTAGCAGTTTTAAAAAGGTTTATGGAACATGAATACAGCTCAGAAAATATAGACTTTGTAATGGCTGTTTTTCTCTATCGAGAAATTAAAAGTAAGAAAAAGCGTACTTTAAAGGCGCTTCAAATACATAAAGAATTTATTGTTTCTACTGGTCCCCGACAAATCAATATTTCTGATATCTGTGCTAAAAACATAAGTGCTGGCCTAGAAGAAGCAGCCCCTGAACTTTTCGATCAAGCTAAAGATCACCTCTTAAGTGTTATTAGAACAAATTCTTTTCCCCGTTTTTCTAAAGCAGTTAAGTTACTGGTGACGGAAAGTTGGAAGCGCGCAACAGAAAAATTTTCTGTTACAGAAATAGGATCAGAGTTTTATACTAACCTTTTTAAACTCTCTCCTAGCACAGAAAGACTTTTTACTAAGGCAAACTCTAAAAGTCAAAGTGCCATGTTTGCTTCCATGATTGATCATTGTGTCACCTGCCTAAGTGATCTAAAAACGTTTATTACTCAAGTATCTGCTTTATCCAAAAGACATCGGACTTATCGCTGCCACAAAGGGCACCTACCAGCAGTTAAAAAAAGTTTTATTAAAACAATGAGGAAAGTGCATGAAAATAATTGGAGTGAAGAAGTTGAAGAAGCTTGGTCTTATGTTTACGAATTAATTGCTGTTATTATGAATTACTGGCTTCCTAGCCCCCCACTTTTATCGGAGAAAGTGGATAGTATAAAATTTTGTTGTACGAGTTAGTGTAATTCACCAGGTATTGCCGTTATATTATGCAAAATTCTAATAAAAAAATATTATAAGCCTGAAAATTAATTTTCAAAATAAGGCATGTAACGCTAGTGATATAATTATTGTTGAAACCCCACAATGTTCTAGGTAAGTCAAATAATTTAACTTCCATATGTTGACTGGCTATTATTTTGTGATGAATCTTAGTCTAAAAACATCGATCGTAGCAAATAAAGCAAGTAGATAAAGTTCTCTCGCTTTCGGTTTACTGCGACTTCAGAAGCTTAGAACATATTCGCATATACATAAGCTCATAATTTCGCTTTAGTGCCCACGGCAAGGGTTAGGTACTTATACCATTCTGCTTTTTGAAATAGTAATATTTTGTGACCAGGCCTTCTCATTCAACGAATTTAGCAATTGCATTGCGCTTTGCGATCATAATATTTCATTAAAATTTTAAAGGTGTAAACTTCTGGGCTTAAGTTAAAAACTCGAAATTTTTGAGTGTCAGCCGCCACCAATTTGTATGGTACGCTCGCATTCGAAGTTTTTCCGGGGCTATTGACACTACTTCGCTGCACACATACGTTAGAAGCTTTCAGAGAACGGCACTTTATTAACCATCTTAATAATTACATCAGTTACAAATTTTTCGGGGTATTAAAGTAAAGAACAAGAATATAAAAATTGTCAAATTTTATTACAGAGAAATTTATGTACTAAATAAATTTAACTACTGCGTACAAGAGTGACAGTGGGATTAAATTTATATTTAAAAAAATTTTAATATGCGTTAAACTTTATTGTAAAACAATGGTAAAATAAAAAAGGCCAAAACGCCAATAAGAAAAATTTTATTAACAAATTCATTCAGTGACGTTATTAATATTAATGGAACTCCAGTTGAACTCGATATTCTTCATCTGCCTAACTGTAATTGGCCTAAAAATATTACAATTAACATAAAAAAAAGTTAATTACATAACTAATAATTAGGAAATTTTTTTTTCTGCTGGTATTCATTGCCAAATACCAAATACCTACTTAATTAACGCCCCCCCCCCTCTCCGCCTCCTATACACACAAATTTTTTTTTACTTTCTATCAATTTGTATACATAATTTTTTGTCTTTCGAAAAGTCACCATTTTATAATGGGATTGTTTTTAAGGTCGATACGCTCAACGACTTCTCCGAGAGTACTCAATTCAGTAGGTAACGCGGTAATCAAGTTATTGCTTAAGATAATTTCTCGAAATCCTCTCAACTGAGGAACCACCTCAGCGGGAAGCTCCTCGATTTTCAAGCTGGAGAGATCCAACAAGTCCAATTCTAATTAATAAATATATTTATGGTTTACTTATTTTTGATCCTTTAACATTTCTTATATATTTAAAGACACTTTTTCTCAATTATTAAAAGTTTATAAAATCTTTTTTATCAATTTAATTATGATAATTAGGTAAAAATCTCGTTATTTTTAGCTATGAGCAGCATTTTTAAGAAACATAATTACTTTATCATCCCTAAAAAAATTAAATTTAAAAAATAAATTTTTATTTATATTCTATTTTTATATTAATTATTACCCTTCTATTATTATACCAATTTTACCTTTATTTAGTATTTTAAAAACAATAATATTTATTATTTAGCTATTGTATTAAGTATCTTTATTTTATTTATATTATTTAATTTAAAAAAAAACCTTCTTCATTGTATAGTCTAATAATTATGTATATATAATTAATTATTATTATATTGACATTTGTTAATATTATATTCCCAATAGAATCGTTAATACAAAAATATAAATAATTTACATATTAAACAATATCATATAATAAAAATCTAAGCTAAATATTTCGACCAATCATGTTTTCCCAAATTCTGGGGAACACTTTGATTGGATTGGGTTTAATTTGTAAGACTCTTAGCTTAACCATGCAATTCATTGAGTTCGGAAGATACTCAAGTCTGTTACGCTCCACATGAAGTTCTTTAATTTTGATGAGTTTTCCAAAATCTTGCACAAAGGAAAAATCAAAATTATGTATCTTACATACTCATCACATTATACAGCCCAATAAACATATATTTAAGGGGCCTATAAGGATTTTTTTATAAATAAAAGAAAACTTAGAAACTAACTTAATGAAAACGTCTAAATGTTAAAGAATAAGAAAATATTAAATAATCGTAATTAAAAAAATATTCTTTTTCAGATAGTCCTGACTTCTGCTTATTAAAGAGTTTTATATAAAGTTTATCATAAAAGTTAACGTCTGACCTTCTGGGAGTTTTTCCAACAAATTGTCAGAGATATCCAAATGCTCCAACGAAGTTAACTGCATAAATTCTTCAGGCAGTTGTGAAATTTTATTTCCACATAAATTAAGTTTTCTTAATTGAACATTAGCGTTTATCCCTTTAAAAATGAGGTTAGAAGCATCATGTAGAAGTTTTTTAAAACAATATTTCAACTGGAACAACTTATAGTGATACGTCAATTATTCAGTGTAGCTACAAACGCATGGCGCTTATATAAAAGCGTATCTGTGAAAAACTGCCACTAAAGAAAATATAACAATAACACTTATAGTAAATTTTCTATTTTCTTTATAATTTTTGAGTTCATTATTAAAAGTTTCTGCTTGTTTTTTAATTTTAATATTATACCACTATTAGTCCTTTATATAACTTTTAACATACTGGCTGACTAAACAATGAAAAGTTGAGGCTTATTATTACACAACAGGTCAACAGTTGTACAAATTTTATTATTTTCCATTATTGTTAGTTTTAATAGGCTTTTTTTTTAACTTAAAATTAAGTTTTGAGAATATAACTTTTATAGTTTATAATACATTATTACCCGAAATATTCTCTAATTCGCACTTTTCAAAGCTTAACTCTTCAAGCAAAGTCAATTTCGTTAGATAACTCGGTACCTTCGTAAACTTATTCGAGGCTAAAAGCTTAAAGAAAAAAATTTAAAAGATATAGTAACAAGAAATGTGCTAAATTAAAAACAATTTTTTTTTTAATACCTCTAATATCCCTTTAAACGCAATTAGTATACATATTTACGGGATTTTTTAGAAGGAAAAAAAGAGCCCTGTAAAGCTACTGAAAAGCATTCGCCCACAAGTTTTTTGTAGGCAGTTGAATAGGAATGTATCTTAGCGGTGTTAAAAGCGAGCATCGTTCATTATAATGAAATTTAAATTTTTTTGTAATATTTTAAAGCAATATGCCTGCTTACATACTGCGCATGTCTCTTAGCTATGATTTTTAGCTTCCAACATTTCAAACAAAAGATAACAAATGTTAGAAGTTGATTTCCATAAAAAAAAACTTTGAAACGAAAAAGTTAGCCTTTGTTAAGATAAAATGAACTAAACGTATATCTTCAATTAAGATGTCAGTTGTTAAACGGCACTACCTGTAGGGAGTATAAGTGTAAAAAGCTATTGTCTTCCCCTTTATAACGCCGTACACCTTGTAAAACATGCAGTTTATTACTTCCCATTAATCAAAGAAGGTTTATTGACCTCATTCTAAATATGTAAATAAGGTAACTTTAACTGCAGAGGATCGTTATAAAGCAAAATAATATGTAAGTATGGAATAAGTATTTATGGTAGATTACTCGCTATAAATATTCTCACCAACCCAAAGCTCTTTGTAAGCAGATACATATAAAAAACAATATTTTACGACAGTGGAACTATTTATTAGACAACTATTATATGGAACTTAGCAGACACCAGTGTTCTAAGAGCAGAGCAAGAAGTAATTTCAAAAGGAAGATTAACAAGGTAATTTCCAGTCAAGTTTAAATATACCAAATTCGGTAAATATTTTATTTCTGAAATTAACTGTTTCAAGTTAACTTTTAATCTAGAAATATAATTTCTACAATGAAAAGAGGCAACCTCACTGGCACCAGCTGCGCTCATAGTAAGCTTGGTGAGGCTTGTAAGTTTCTGAAATTTTTTTTTAGGGAGCGTGTTGAGATTAAAAGAGATGTCTAAAGATCCGGTTCTCTACAAGCATTATAACGCATATAATTAAAGATGGAAAAGTCAATATACCACAGCCTCTGACAAAATTTTAGAAGTCTCAATCTTTGTCTTGTCTCCTTTATACTTTAACTAAAAAGATTATATAGTATCAAAAACATATCAACTTTTATTTTAAAAGCAAACCTTCAACCTAAAATTTTCCACATCTTTCAATAATTTGTTTTGAAATATCCATTTATTGGGGTCTTTTGACATTTTTAGGAAGTCGTAAGACAGGCTCTGATAGACCTTGCCAGGACAAGAGAAGGTGATAAAGAAACTTGGGAGGGCCCTCAGACCTCTCCCCTTTGCTTTAAGGCCTTTTTCTTAAATGTTATTACTTTGACTGGCTCCTTAAATTTAAAATAAGCTTCGATTATTGATAACTGCCATCAGTATTTTGTTTAACTTCTTCTCATTGGTGAAGTAACTGCTAATGATTAAGCTGAACATATACTAAAACGCATTTTTAAGCAATTTTTAGAAAATAGTTTCAGAACACCCGAATAGTGTTAAGAAAGAAAGATTTACCATTCGTCAAAAATTTTGTTTGCGGTTTAGGAATATTTTTGTTTAAAATTTAATCATGGTCATTAGTGCTGCCTCGTAAGACACGGAAGGGCTAAAGCACTAACTACTGCATTTATTACCCTTTTGATAAATTCGCTTGTTTTGGTCAAAGAATCACCCTTAATTTCTACTTTAATAACTTTCAAAGAAACCTTGATAACGGATGTCTACCAGATTACATCTTTATGAACTAAATCAATTCAGTCATCTCTCATATAATAAAGTTGCTTATAAGTGAAGTTATAAACATATTTTATTAAATCATTTTACCATTAATTTAGACTCTATTTACTTTATGTGGTTCAATTACTGTAATATGCTATTAAACTATTTAAGTTCATGTTTGATGAAAATAAATTCACTAGGCCCGACTTTTGATTAGAACGTATAACTAGGTTAATAACGCATTTAACCGACACGAACTCACTAATTGGGACCTAAATTAAAATAGCATGTATATAATATGGACTTATGACTACAAATTTCTAATCTACATATAAAGCTTTTACTTAAAAATTCTAAGCTATTATACGCTTAATTATCATTAAAAAAGATTATACACTCTAATCATGCAAAGTAAAAAGATTACTTATTAACGACTCCTCGCCTTTGGTCAAACTTCTGAGAGCTAATCGCTTCTGTTTCCTAATTCTTGATAGTTAATTCAGGTCACATTAAAAAATGGTTAAAAATTTACACTTTTTATAAAAAATATCAGTTTTAAGCATTTATGTTGTCAAAAGATAATAAGCTTATAAAAAAGGCTAAAGAGGATAATTTATTTGTATATGATTGTTAAGGTTATTTATAAATAAGGTCGTTTGGCTATTACTTTACTTTGGAGGACATAACTGAGACCTAATATGAAAAACATAACAGCATCTTCATGCAAGTAGTGTCTACGGTTATACTATTATTTAGTTTAAAGAGCTATGTAGAGTTTCCTTAAACTTTATATAGAGAACTTTAAATTTTTTCTTACATTTTTTGGTTTTTTTATATTAGAAGTATATTCCATAATACTCTATTATTACTTATAGATACTAGTCAATCTATCTATTAATATAAGTATAAGATAGTAACTCGTAGTGCATAAACTTTGTCACAACTTAAGTTTTACTAAAACTGTACCACATTTCTCAGGGAATGCTGTCTTTAAAAGCCAGTAGCGTACACATTCAAAATATTATTAAAATAAGTTTACGACTATGTAGCCCTTAATCTATATAATTTAAGTTATAGGTAACCGATATAAACTTAAACAAGAACTATAGTACCTTTTTATTTAATTACTTAAAATATATACGAATGAACGCGAGAGTGCTGGTATTTAATTTTTTAGGAAGGTTAACTTGAAATCCATAGAAAAGCTTTCTCATATAAAAAGTTCTCCGGTTATTTTGTTTTTAACTTGATCCCTTTATGAATGAACTTTTGGCAGTCCGCGGGGTTGGCAATAAATATATTGATTTTTATTATTTACCTACAAATTATGTAGTAATTAATATATTATCAGTAAGCACTTTACTTAGAAAACTAAAAAATGATTTTAGTATAAGCAGGTACAGCTTGTTGTTGTTCAAGTGGACTACTTTCTAAAATGTTTTCCTAACTTTGTTCCACGATTTGGGTTTGGTAAATAACTACCTTTTTCATAATATAAGTGAAATTTTTTTTAATTTAAGGTATTTTACTTCAATTCTTAGTTATTAAATATATACAACTTTTATATTATATTTTCATAAAAAATACTATTTCATTTTTGAGTATATTAAAAAATAGAATAGTATTTTATATGGCTTCTCTGCACTCTAACTTTTTAGTTTAACGTTCAATTCCATTTATTTCTAAGTTTTTAACCGTGTTAACGTTTTTATTTTACAGACCCATATGAAAAGGATCTTTTGTGCCTAAAAGGACCTCTTCCTCTTCCAAATAAGTGTGTTCTTGAAGTTACCATTTGGATTAATGAAGATTTCCCCTCTCAACATCCAGTTCTTCACTGTTTATCTCCAAACGAAAAAGACGTGCTTTATAATTTGGTCCTTGATATAAACAATGACCGGTTACGACAAAAACTTACTGACATTTGGGATCACGTAAAACCTTCACTCTTCCACTTTTTAAGCACCGTCTCGCATACATTGGTTCTGCCCAACCCACGCACGTTTGCATTTCTTTATTATTTACGATAAACTAAACAACGTTTCTAATATGCTCTCCACACAACAGTCCAACTCCTAATCGCTCGTGTAAACCCAAAGGAAGTGAATCTTTAGATTTGAGAGAGAATGAAACCAAAAATCTGTTACCGGCAATTTTCGCTTTGAATTCACAAGCGCATAAGTTGCGAGAAGTGGATAAAGTTTATTAAGAAATATTATATTTTATGTACAGCAATTGAAAACTTAATTTTTTATATATAGAAGCTCAGTAAATATGCTAAACAGCTTGAGAAGTGTGATTCTCAAGATCTTGAAAAAGAAATGCAGTTGTCTGAAGTTTTTTGGAAGAACCAACTTAAGCTACTTCGAACTTTGGAAAACTTAAATTTTGAAAAAGTTTAGTAAATTTAATTTAATTTGCAAGCAGCCCACTTGGTAGTCACTAGACTTTGCTGGTTTGCAGGACTTAAAAAAAAGTCATAAACTTTACGGCAATATGCGTATGCCTATAACTTTTTTCTATAGCTTTTCATAAAAAAGATTTTTATTTTCATCAGTAAATTACTATTTTGAGAGATGTAAAAGCATTTTCAAAAAATTTGCATTTTGTTTTGTTCTTTTTTATTTTAATTTTTTTATATGATTCGCGCCATATTTTGGTTCCTTTCCTGTGAAAAATTGATCTTTTTATCTTTTTTATGAAGTTTATACGAACAAACCAAAAAATAAGCTTATAATTTAAGTATTAGACTACTATGTATACACTGAAATATTTATTGTTTCTTTTTTTTTGGTTATAATAATAAACTTTTTACCTTTGAAAGTTTTACAGTTACATTGCTAAACTTGTTTGTTTAATTACAGCTACTGCACTTGTGTGTTGCTATAAATCTTCATGTCAATAAAAGTTTTATCATAGTGAAATTTAAATAATCCAGAAATTTTTTACAGCTTTCACGATATCTCTATTCGACTGTTTTCCTTAAAGCTTTGTAGTTTCGTACATGTAATTTTTAAAAAATTTTTTAAATTACGTTGTGCTAATTTTTATTTTCGATCCTCAATCTCATACCATTTTGAGACATCTTTTGTTAAGACTCCCTAAATTTATTTTTTAACGCTATATCAATTTTTTTTATTTTTTTGTCACATATAAAAGATAATAGCTTATCACCTACTAAAAAGAGAGAACTGTACCTTAGAATTGAAAATTTAATTGTAATAATTTTTTGTCTCGTTATGATGACTTTAATATTTCGGCTCATATGTAAGTACTAATTTATTTAATACAGTTGGTCCTTTTAAAGTCATATTCAGTTTCTAATTCGCTAATTTTGAAAATTTCTACTCTAATTATAATATGTATATATAGTTGTTAAAAAAACGACTACACCGCTCCTCCCGTAAAATTTATTCAAAGGGAAAAGATGTTTTTTAAACATTTTTAACACTTTAAAATTTTCTAAATAGTATATTCGAAAAAGTGTTTATTGTAGAGAAAAGGTCCATTCTTTTTACTTTAAGTTATTAAAAGCTATTAATCAGGAGATAATCGTTTTGTTAGTGGGAAAATTGTATTTATATATTTTTATATTCATATATTTAATAATCCTTATGATGCGTAACTTCTCTTTAAAACCTTAAATTTTCTAAAACTACAGAATCGTCGAGAAAAACTACTGGAGAATATGAAGCTGGAAGAGCTTCGCTTAAAGAAAACTCTTGAGATGTTTACCAATGAATATATTTGTCTAGATAATGTGGTCATCACCACTTCACCAACTTTTGAAGAGTTAGTTTTGAGTCTGTGCTAATATTAACTTTTGTCGACTCATTCAGAAATATTTTCACATAATAACTGTTCAATTCGAAAGAGGTTCCAATTTTTAACACAATGCCAAACCGTTGGAGATAAGCACTTTCATAACTTTAACTTGTTTAAGTTAGAAAAACAATCATTTTATTGTGGATGGGAAATGTTTCTTTTTATAAGTTTATTAACTTTGACTTAACAAGAGTATTATTTTCCTTATGTGTCTTGTTTCGGTAAACATTTCTTTGACGTTAGGAAGGTGGTATGCGTTGGTTTAGCCTTATAAGAACGAAAACTCTAGTCATTGTATAGCACATTTACAAAACTTTGAATTCCAGACACTACTAACTTTAAAAAATAATCTTTGCTATATAAGCTCTCTTATTTTTTACCCATATTAATTTGTATATCCATCGTGCACTACGGCTTTAAGATGTCGTTGTATCGGCTAAATTCTTTTGGGAAATTATGGAGCTTTTATTGGAATTTGTGTATATTCACTTTATAAATAATTGCGTCAATATAGACCAACTAGTTGAATCTTTTTGCTTTAAGACCTTCTTTCGCTCCCTTTGGAGGGATAATTATTAACTTTAATTAACTTAAACATGCTTAAAAATACTTGTATTTAATGATATATACTTAAAAGTTGTTAACATTTTCAGTTGCCTGCATATTTTTCTCTTCAGAGCGTAATACTTCGCCTTTTTTAAAAAAACAATGTCCTGTTCAATAGTTGTTTTTCCGTTATACAATTCTTTGTCAAGCGAATGTATCTCTATACAGTTGCAACTCTGTATTACTAATTGTTAGTAGACAGGTTTATCGCAAGCATTTATTTTTTAGCAACTAGTAAGCTGTCTGCTTCTTGTATCTTCTGTGGCGCTTAATTAGGTTTGTTTGGGTGCACTTAAAGCATTGTTAGAAAAAATGACTAAGCTATAGTTAATCCCCTGCGTAGAGTTTTTCATTTCTACTATTATTAGCTAGTAAGTTTTTATAAATTGTGTTAATCACAATTAGAGAAACTATTTTAATTATGGTCATAACAGAAAGATAAAACTAATTACAGAGAAATATGGCTTAACGTATTTAAAGATGAAATTGGCCTATTTATTGTTATTGAGCCTATTTACTATTGGGCTTAGTTTCATTAAATCTAATGCAAGTAACTAGCTGAAGTTTACTTTTGCAAATATATCATTTTGTAATAGCAAAAACTGCTGCTGTAACTAAATTAAAGTTGTAAACTCCTCCTATATGTAGTTTTCTTACTTAAATGTCTTATCGTAAGCACCTCTTAAAGATTTTTTTTTTTTTTTAGAATTTTGTATCAAATTGCAAAAGATAATGCCTATGCTGACGTCATTAATCAAATGGTGCTTGCTCTCGAGGAAAACGTGTTTACTCTTAACATTTTCGTCAAAGTAGTCTTTCCTCTCGTAAATTCCCTCAGAAATTTGTATTAAAAATATTTTATTTCAGAATGTCAGAATTTTTTTTAGAAAACAGTTTAAGACGAGGGCCCTAACCTTGAAAATGTTACCAGACGCAAAAACTTTGTCGTCGAACAGTTAGCGACAATATTGTGTTGAATAAATACTACGGGGGCGACTGTTACTACTATTAATTCTTTTACTAATCGTCTTTACACTTTATATCCCACCTAAATTAAGATTTTTTGTAGTTGCACACGAGATACTCATCCCATCAATAGTTGGCCAGCGCTTTTTATATAATAGACTTACCAAATTTCCTTACAACTTTTTCATTTTTAATTAATATATAAAAAGTAACCAGGAGGGTAATAATAATCTTTTTTTTTAACTTTCTTCTTCAGAACATAGGAACATGTAAACTGAGGACACCGTAAGTACATCAGTTTTTGTCTTTACCAGTTTTTGATAAGAAAAAAGTTTCAACTTTTGGCGTATTTTACAAGTTTTTTTTTTTAACTTTTCTCATTACTAACAAAATTTCTTTGCAAAATATAACCAAGCTCCACTTTGTGTGCTCTTTTTTCTAGTACTATGCTTTTTAAAAATTCCTATTTCTTTGAATTACAACCTTTCAAGTAAACGTATGAATTAATTTTGCTTAAGTCCTAATAATTAACATTTATTTATTTTAAAAAAAGGTTGTCTTATTACATAATAAAATTTTAAACATTCTACATAAGCAATATTATGACTTGGGATTTTTAATTACTCTTTCAAAGTAAGAAAAAGAGAAAAGAGTTTTTTTAGTTTATTTACGGGGCTACAATGGAAAGTTTTCAATAGAAATATTTACTTTTTCCCGTAGCAGAAATCTGTTTATTAAAATAACGTTAAGTTTACTCATTTGAGTTAAAAGTAAACTTAAACTTATTATAAATTTAACGTAAGAAATCTTTACTTTTTTGAAGATTTCCGTCGTCACAGTCTTCTAAAAGCCGCTTAATACGGATTGAAACGTCAGACATACTCGGACTTACAGTTCTAGAGACTTTTGGAATCTAATAATTATTATAATAATAAATAAATTAGTAGTAGCGATAACGACTTATCTACATTATTTTTCAGAGTCCCACAGTTGATAACTACAAGAGCATTGCTCTGCGGAAATAAAGGTTAAAATAGCAACTGGACAGCAGACTTATAATTTTAATATAAAGAAACTCGTTCATAAAGTGGAGCGTGGACTGTTCGTAGAAGCGGATTGGAAACTAACGCTAAAGAGCCTCTAAAGTTATAAATTAATAAACCAAATATCGAGAATTTGTCAAAATATTTTTTTTTGATAATTGAGATTGGAAAAAAAAACAAATTTATTTATCGAATAAAAATCAGTCTACTCTTTCCAGTGAGAAAGGCTTATCCGCTTCAAGTTATTGCAGTTTATAACCTAAAGTAAAAGCTTGTAGGAACCACTCAACAATAATAAATATTTTATAAATAATTACGGTAACTTCTCCTTTTACAAAGGAATCCACTACTAACTCTTCTATAGCTGGATTACTGTTAAGCAGAACTCCTAACACTATACTTAGAAAAATAGTTTAACTGGTTATAAAAGGCAAAGATGAAAATATTTAGAGCACAAATGATTTTTTGAGGAGCCACTGCAAGACTTTATAGACTTTTGTAAATAGTTTCGAGATAAAGAAAGGAAGTTACAAGTACAATCGGCCCTCGTCCAGAAAAACCAATTTCCTGCAGTTCTATGCAGGAAATCACCGTTCAGTAGATAACGAAGGCTGCTTATTGTAATAATTGTACTACATTTTATTGGCGGTAAAAATGTTTTTAAAAGGCGCAAGAGTTTGCAATAGTCGCTAAAACAATTGCGCTTCGCTCCCCAAAAAACTAATAAAAAAAACTCTTTACCCAATTCACAGAAAATAGTGACCTGCTGTTTCCAAACTTGGAAGCTCCAAAGTCATCAAATCTTCATTTTCCATAATATTTATGTATTGCGTAAGTTGTACGGAAGAAGAGATATTGTAAAGCCCAAATGAATTAAAGATGAAAACTCTCTAATTATTTAATTACTTAGCTTAGAAAATAATATTAAATATGTGATAACAGAGGGACCTCAAGGACCTCTGCTTTTGCAAAATAAATGCTCGGAATATTAACAATATTCATTATTTCTATCACTGTAGCCACTTTATTTATACAAAAGAATTAAATTCTTTAAAAAACAATGGCGCATTGAAGAAGATTAAAAAGAATACGATGCCCCCCCCCCTTAAAAGCGAATATGGTGCATACTTTTTAAAACCAATTACTTACGTAACCCAAAACTAAATTACTCTTACTTCTTATTCTTTATAAAGTTTTTTAACATTAGAATTTAATTTTTCGTGAATAGTTACCAAATGAAGGAGTTTTAATTACTTCCTGCCTATTAATAAAAGTTTTCGCAAGCACAAATGGTTTGGGTTTATTTATTAAGAAAAAAATTTCTAACCTTTTTTCAATTAAACGAAAATATTTCAAGTGTATAACCAAACACGAAAACTTCTGCTTACTCTCTTAACTTTACTTTCATGCGACAATTTTAGTTTGAAGTAAAAAGTTGACTGTATAACGTGATTTTGCACGAGCCTGTACCGGCTCCACAATTCTAACTTATAAATTATTATATTTTCTTATTTTTTCTACTCTAAGTAAATATTATAGACCATTATAATAATTTGAAATAATATATAAGGAAAAAAGTTACAAATATCATGAATTTATAATTATTTAGCTCTCGTTAAGACCTCAGTTTAAAGAATATTATATTAAATTTAAAGTTACGCGGGTTGACAAAGTTACTTTCGTTAAAAAAAACTTTCATCTACAAAAATTTTTATATCCTCGAACACTTGTAACAAACGAATGAATGCTGCGAGCAAGTAAGCATAGCAATTGCTTACAAGATTATATTCTTTTAAGTTTTCATATATAAAGATTATTTTTTTTAATAACTTTATATATATATATATGTATATATATAATGTAAAGTGAAAACTTATAGAAGCTTACACTGTAAACTCGGAAAAACTAAAGGTGTTTGATTAAATTCCACGTCGTCCAAATACATAAACCGGATGCTTTGTAAAGAAGAAAAGTCGACTTTTCTAAGCTCTGTTAGTTATAATTATTAATAAAGTTAGTATAGTTAATATTATCACATCTCTAATAATTTTCACTTTTTCATTTTTATTATAATTATATATAACATTTTACGTAGTTACTTTTAAAAAGTATAATTTACTTAGTATAATAATTATATATAACTGTAAAAAAAGTAATTCTGTTCCGCTAATAAATTCTTTTAATAATGCTTTTAAAAAAATTATGTATTATTAACAAATTTTTCGGTAAAGAAAAAGTCAACATAATTTAGTAAAACTTTTTTTTTAAATATCAAATAACTTAAACATTTATAGGCCAAAAAAATTAAGAAATACGTATCCAACAAAATAAAATTTTACTAGATTTTTAAAATGAGTATAATTCACAGAGATATTTTTTAAAGAAACTTTTTATATATATTATTATAATATAAAGAAAGCTACAACTTATAAATTTTTTCAAAAAGTAATTTAACAAAAAACAACTTTTTGTTCCAATAATGCTGAGGATATCGCAGCTTTCCAAGCTGGGAAACTCCAGATCTACAGAATTCGAATTGTTCACCGAGTCAAGCTCAATTTTTTCAATGTTTGCCAATGAGGGGGCTCTTAAAACTTCAAAATATGTATTGTGGGCTCGAAAAATACTCATATTTTGGGCCAAAGAAAGGTCAATCATTCTAATATATATATATATAAAGATATAACATTAACATAATAACTCAAGTAATAATAATAATTATAAAAAATCATAAAAAATAAATGAAATAATATAAAATAATAAAATTTATTTATAAAATAAACTAAATTTTCTAAATTAAAATATTAATAATAAAAAACAAAATATATAGAATAGTTTTTCTTACTCAAAATGAGAATTTTTTATTCTTAGTTCAAGAATATTATTTAACATCCCGAAATTTAAACTTTTCATAACTTGAGAATGAAGTCCTCTAAGCATAACTTCTTCGACAGTAGTAAGTTTTGGGAACCTTTTTATTTTAAAAAGTGATATAAGAAGATAAAAAGGAAGTTTACAATATAAATTTTATAATAACTTAAAGAAACAAATAAAATTGTTATATTGAAAAATTTTTTATTTAAAAGTAACTTAGGGGAGTCAAAAAAAAATTAAATAAATCTTTATAAATAAAATGGAAGTACAATAGTTATAGCGTTGAGAGTGACATATTTATTATTTTTTTACAAAGCTACTAAAATAAAGAACAGCAATACTAAATCGTTAGAAATAATTGAAATATTATTTTTAAGATTAAATAAAATCTATATATATATTTATAAAAATAGATATATATAATCAGAATATTTTCTTACCCTAAATTAAACATAAATAGTTAAGCTAGTAAAAAAAATATAGAAAGGGAATATTAAAGAGTTCTAAAATAAAGTTATAATACCGCTTTAAATTTTTTTAGAAAAGAAACAATAAAAAAATATTGTAAAAAGTAAAAAAAAATTCAAATTTTTAAACGTTTTTTATGTTCATTCCACGAAATAATTTATAAAGATGCCAAAAAAAATTAATAAATTAATGTATATATATAACAAAATAATAAGGGTAAAACGTAATAGAGTATATAAAAAGTACTTTTAGATAATTACCAATAAGACAAAAATGAGGTAGCAATGGTGGCGCTCGCATACGCTTCATAACAAAATAAGTTAATTAAAATAGATTTAATATAAAGAAAAACTGCAATGAGAAAAAAAGGTTAACAGTTCAAATAAAAGTTGTTTAAAAGGTTCCATCAAAACTTATTAATATTAACACTGAAGCAATAATATCTTGTTTATAAAACATAAAAGTACCCGGTCCGTATACGTAAAGCGTTTGCAATTTATTTAAGTTAAGAAAAGAAATATTCGTCAGTGCTTCTTCACCTTTATCACATAAAAAAAAACAAAAAAAAAAGGAAGTTATAATATACTTTTTTGTACTTTTTATAAAATTTAATGATTTTTTCAATAAATAATAATCTTTATTACTTAATTTTTTTTTTAGGAAATTTATTATAAACTAATCTCTTAAAGAAGAACCACTTAGCATTTTCAAATAGTATATAGCGAATATAACTGTAAACAATATATAAGAAGCTTTACGTACTTTACTATAAGTTCGCGTAATACTATAGCTTTCAATGTTCAAATAAACTTTTAAACAAAAAATGAATAAAAAATTGCAAATATTAATAACGTAATGATTGTTATAAATAATAACTAACTTATTATTACTCTCTACAAAGGAAAATTATTAAATTTGTTTTTAAAGAACGAATAAAATTTATACAAACAAAATTTAATTTACTTTTCTGTAAACTTCTCAACGTAAAGCCTGCATATTATACAGCAGAGAAGATTTTTTACTAAAAATTAAAGTACTAAACTTAAAGAAGAGCGCTGATAAAATTAAAATAAAGGAAATTATGATTTAATTGAGATTGATTAAAAAATAAGTGTTGAGTAAAAAAATTAAAAAAAACCTCTCTCTTAAAGAGACTGTCTAATACTATACAACTAAAAACTAATTAATTGGAATATTCGAAGTCACTAAAGTGTTATTTTTATAGTGGGTATACTTTTAATTAACAACACAATTACTTTATACTAAGATTTTATAATAAAACTAAGTACGTTAAGACGTACTTTTTATTTGCAATTTAAAAAATTAAAAAACCTGAATTTCTAATTGTTAATAGACCGATTCTCTCCAGCAGAGGCAAACTCCTAATAGTGATTAAAAAAGTGCAGTAAATTTAAATATTTTACTATAAAGAAAAGAAGACTTACATATATCCATTAAAGTTATTAATCTCTAACTTATCCAAAACTTGGCAAAGAACTAGTTCTTCATATTCTTCTAGAACCCTGATAGTTTTGGATCCGCATTTAAATGAACATCATACAAATTTTCGGTTTGAAGGTAACTAGTTAGTAATTGTTATGTATACTAAAATAAGGAAATGTAAAATTTTTTTTTATACCTTATAAGAAAAAATAGTAACAGGGAAAGCCCAAAGTATATACAAATAATAAAAAAGGCTGTATGTTTTTTAACAAAGCGGTCACTTAAAGAATCTAACACATCAATGACTCCTG